TTTTTTTTTTTTTTTTTTTGGTATCCCTTAGTTTTTGCTGCACAAAAAACTACCCCAAAACTTAGTGGCTAAAAACAACAATTTATTTAGCTTACAATTCTAGGGGCCGGTGATTTGGGCTGGGCTCAGCTAGGAAGTTCTTCTTTTGGTTGGGCTCATTCATGTAACTGCAGTCAGCTGCCAGGCTGGGAGAGGCTGTCTAGAATGGCCACAACTGGCTCCTCTCTGCCTCTTGTGGTGGTTCAACCTCCAGCAGGCTAGCCTGAGCTTGTTCCCATTGTGGCCGTTCTATAAGACTGAGTGGAAATTGAAAGGCCTCTTGAGAACTTGTTCAGTATCACTTCCTAGTGGCCAAAGCAAGTCGTAAGGCCTGCCCAGATTCAAAGAGGAAGAGATTATTCCTCTTGATGGAAAGAACTACAAAGTCAAGTTTAAAAGAACGGTCTACAGGGAGATGTGGGCAGTTGTGGCCATGTTTGCAATCTGTCACAAGGCCCTTGATGACCAGGTGTTTTTGTTACTGGATGGAAACCCCAGGTTCTTGTTTGGCATGACTTGTATTGGCCAATAAACGAGAGAGGTGGGAGAACACAAAAGGCACCTTTATTTCATTGTACAAGGAAGAGGAGTCAGTTGGAGCTGCTGTGGCCAAGACTGCTCCCCAAAGGCAAGAAGACAAGTTACTTTTAAGGGGTTTACAAGTAGGGAGTTCATACAAGTTATGTCAGCAACATTTTTTTTTAAATTGTGCTTTAAGTAAAAGTGTACAATTCAAGTTAGTCTCTCATACAAAAATTTATACATACATTGTTATGTGACCCTAGTTGCTCTCCCTATACTGTGACAGCACACTCTTCCTTTCCACCCCAGATTTCCCGAGTCCATTCAACCAGCTCCTGACCCTCTCTGCCTTCTCATCTCGACTCTGAACAGGAGCTGCCCATTTAGTCTCATGTATCTACTTGAGCTAAGAAGCACACTCTTCACAAGTATCATTTTATGTCCCATAGTCCAGTCTAATCTTTGTCTGAAGAGTTGGCCTCGGGAATGGTTTTAGTTTTGGGCTAACAGAGAGTCTGGGGGCTGTGTCTTCCGGGGTCCCTCCAGTCTCAGTCAAACCATTAAGCCTGTTTTTTTCACTAGAAGTTTTTCCTACTTTTCTCCTGCTCCATCAGGGACTCTCTGTTGTGTTCCCTGTCAGGGCAGTCATTGGTGGTAGCTGGGCGCCATCTAGTTCTTCTGGTATCAGGCTGATGAGTCTCTGGTTTTTGTGGCCCTTTCTGTCTCTTGGGCTAATACTTGCCTTGTGTCTTTGGTATTCTTCATTCTCCTTTGCTCCATGTGGGCTGGGACCAATTGATGCATCTTAGATGGCCGCTTGCTACCTTTTAAGACCCCAGATGCCACTCACCAAAGTGGGATGCAGAACTTTTTCTTATTAAACTTTGTTCTGCCAATTGACCTAGATGTCCTCTGAAACTGTGGTCCCCAGACCCCTGCCCCTGCTACTCTGTCCCTCAAATTACTTGGTTGTATTCAGGAAACTTCTTAGCTTTGGTTTAGTCCAGTTGTGCTGACTTCCCCTGTAGTGTGTGTTGTCTTTCCCTTCACCTAAGATAATTCTTCTCTACTATCTAGTTAGTGAATTCCCCTCTCCTCCCTTCCCACGCTTGTAACTATCAAATAATGTTCCTCTGTGTTTAAACCTTTTCTTGAGTTCTTATAATAGTGATCTTATACAATATTTGTCCTTTCATCAGCAACATTCTTAATCATATTATGCAGGTGCCATGGAGTTTACATATAACCTCCAAGCAAAATCAGGATTCAAATGCAAAGCTGGAGGGGAGGAAGCCCAGCAAAGGAAACAGGATTTTTAATGTAACACTGTGGGGGCTCTGTCTCATTTTGGTTATCTAGTGCTGTTATAACAGAAATACTACAGGTGAGGTGGCTTTAACAAACAAATTTATTTTCTCACAGTTTAGGAGGTCAGAAATCTGAACACAGAGCACCAGCTCTAGGAAAGGCTTTCTCTCTCTGTCAGTCTGGGGAAAGGTCTTGGTCTCTTTCAGCTTATTTCCTGGTTCCTTGGAGATCTCCATGTATCCTGGCATCTGTCTTACCCCATCTCTACTCGCTTGCTTGTTCAATCTCTTTTATATCTCAAAAGAGAGTGCTCAAGACACACCCTACACTAATCCTGCCTCATTAACATAACAAAGACAATCCATTCCCAAATAGGATTATAACTACACACATAGAGGTTAGGATTTACAACACATATTTTTGGGGGACATAATTCAATCCATAACACCATGTCTTTCTTTTGCCACACTCCTCCACCCAGTCACAATCTCCCATCCCTTCAGGTGTCTGTTGAACCCTCACCTCCTCCACTCCCCATCCTCCCCATTAAAGCCTTACTAGACTATTCCCACCCATCTTATACCCATCCTATACCCCTGCCCAGCATAGCTGCTGCTCCTGAGGCCCACAGCAAGTTGAGAGAACTGCTTGTCTGCTTGGTTTATAACAAAAGCTGTGTCCTCCCTCCCCAGGCCTGTGCTACTGGCCCAGGCTGGTAGTGGGGGTGGCCTGTGATGGGGTTCTGAGCCACTGTGTCTCTTGCAGCTTGTGTGGGCCACTTCAAGCCAGCTGGGCTGTGGGCAGCATCGCTGTTCTGTGGGCCAGACAGAGATGGAGGCCTTTGTGTGTGCCTACTCTCCAGGGTAAGCCCCCATGACTGCAGGGTCCACCACCCTCTGCTGGGTCAACTGCAATGGGGGGTGGGGGTGAGAAGGGATACTTTCACCCAGGCTGAGACACTACCCACCCACCCAAAAGGCCTTGACCCCCTGGTCTGAACCCTTAGTGGAGAGAGAAGAACGGGGAAAGGGAGAGGATGTAAAAGTGGGCAGCACCCAAGATTCTGACCACGCAGAATGTAGCTTCTCCTCTGAAGCCCCTTCCTGGAAGTGCTACCCTGCGGGGGTCATCTTTTCTTTCCTAGGAGACCTCCCTATCTCACCCTGGCTCCTGGCTGGGCCAGAGGGAGCCGAGGGGGCCATGCTCTCCTTCTGCCCCTCCTCTGCTTTGCCCAAGGCCATGCCCTTCCAGACCCTCTGTTGCTTGCTCTCACAGAGGCAACTGGGAGGTGAATGGGAAGACAATTGTCCCCTATAAGAAGGGCGCCTGGTGTTGGCTCTGCACAGCCAGCGTCTCGGGCTGCTTCAAAGCCTGGGACCACACAGGGGGGCTCTGTGGTAGGTGCCCCACCCTGCCTGCCTCCTCCCTGGGCAGCAGGTACATGAAGGTTTGGTATGGGTATCCTGGGGAGGGGGGTGTAGGCAGCATCCTGAGGGGCTGTCCCGGAAACCCTGGCCCTCAACACCCTTGGGAGGCACCTGCCTGGCCTCCTGCATGTAGGCCCCACTCTCAGAGTCCCCTCCTCATCTGACCAGAGGTCCCTAGGAACCCGTGCTGCATGAGCTGCCAGAACCACGGACATCTCAATGTCAGCACCTGCCACTGCCACTGTCCCCCCAGCTACACAGGCCGATACTGCCAAGGTGAGGGGCACCTGGAGTTCCAGAGCAGGACCAACTTCCTGGGGGGTGCAGTGCACATGGGTGACACAGGTGGCCACCAAAGTGGGAAGGAGGGAGGCTGAGCCAGCTGTGTGCATGTGTGCACACACATATGTGTGTGTGGTGCATCCTGAACAGGGGCTGTGCATGCACTGATGAACAGGTTCCCAGAGTCTCGAGTGCCTAAGGGAGTGCTGGCCGTGCACTTGCTGAGTGTGTACACTGCATGGATTCCCTCTACAACATTAGCAGAACATTATCTGTCTGCCACACCCTGAGATGAGCTGCAAAGGGGTCGGATTGGGCCCTTAGGCTCTGAGCTGGTGGGAAAAGGACAGAATTAGTTTCTTGTCCCACTGTCCCCTCTTCCCAGCTCTGTGACCATGGGACAGTGACCCAAGCCTCAATTTGCTTCTCTCTACACTGGGGATCAAACCAAAGATGCCAGGTGCAGAAGCCAATTGGCAGCCCTAGTGGGCTCCATCACCGAGAGGGGGTTCTCGCTGTGGTTGGCCAGACCTTGCATGTTCAAGCCTGTGAGGAGCAGCAGGGCCAGTGAGTGCTGCCCTCCTGCCCCATCCTGCAGTGCGGTGCAGTGTGCGGTGTGTGCACGGCCGGTTCCGGGAAGAAGAGTGCTCCTGCATCTGCGATGTCGGCTTTGGGGGAGCCCAGTGCACCAGTGAGTCCTGTCCCAGGATCCCTCCAGCGGTGTAGTGGGGCCCATTGTATGTCTCTTCCCAACTTCACCTTTAGTGATGTCATATTGGCCGCTTAGAATTGGCCATGGTGGGGATATTTACACCACAGAAATGGGCAAATGTTACAAATACTGGGTTTTTTTTTTTGTTGTTATTTGTTTTGTTTTTTTAAGGAGAGCTGGTTGTTACATATTTGCCAGCACTCACTGACTCCTACCCACTCTCCAGCCTGAAGCCCTTTCCTGGAATTGCTACCCTGCTTTGAGGGAATGTACCTACTGTTAGTGGGGGTCATCTTTTCTTTCCTAGGAGACCTCCCTATCTCACCCTGCCTCCTGGCTGGGCCAGAGGGAGCTGAGGGGGCCATGCCCTCCTTCTGCCCCTCCTCTGCTTCGCCCAAGGCCATGCCCTTCCAGACCCTCTGGTGCTTGCTCTCAAAGAGGCAACTGGGAGGTGAATGGGAAGACAATCGTCCCCTATAAGAAGGGCGCCAGAAGAAGGAGTTTGAGCTCAGCACCCTGGCAGGGCGGGAGAGGATAACAATTCTGAGGTCCACACACACAAACTCAGGCCTCTCATCCCCCAGCCAAGGTGCACTTTCCCTTCCATACCTGTGACCTGAGGATCGATGGGGACTGCTTCATGATATCCTCGGAGACAGACACCTACTACAGAGCCAAGATGAAATGCCAGGTGACAGGTGACCCCTGCCTTTTCAGGGATCCCCAGGGTCTCAAGCAAGGTCCTTGATGGCAAGACCTTGGACTAAGAGGTGGTTCTTTGACTTCTCCTGCCCTCACTCTCTTCATTACTATAAAGCAGGAATCACAAACTCAGAGGCCTCTGGAAGCCAGAAGGTCACTTAATGAGCTGAGGGACCACAGGGACGAGGCTCCACCCGACCCCCACCTAGGGGAGCCGTCCTGACTCAGCTCCAGCTGCAGGATGCCATGCAGGATGCGAGTTCAGGGTGGCCAGAACTCATTATTTTTCAAGAGCACCAGAAACCCACATTTTCATGTAGCCCCTCCTGATTTATTAACGTTGGCAACCAATTTGAACATATTTAAAACAAGGGGCAGGTGACACAAATCCCTTCTGCAGGTAGGACCCTGCCTGGGTGCTGCCCGTCTGGGCCCCTGAACACAAGAGAGAGGAGAGGTGGGCAGGCAAGAGGAAGGCGGACGCCTACTCTAGGAAGCAGGAGGCTGGCCAGGCTGGACAGCACTGAGCACTGCTGCCAGCACGCACACACGCCTCCTCTCCTGTGACGCCATGGCTGTGGTGGTGGGAAGGGCTGCCTGAATCCTGGGGCCCTGCCAGCCTGACCTGGGGTGAGGGTTACAGGGAAAGGGCGGGGTGCTAGCCCAGATCAAGAGTCAGAAAGTGCAGGACATCCTCGCCTTCTACCTGGGCCGCCTGGAGACCACCAGTGAGGTGACTGACAGCGACTTTGAGACCAGGAACTTCTGGATCAGTGAGTGCCTGGCTTGTTGGGGAGTACAATGTGTGTGCGGGGGAAGGCCTGGGATGCCACACGCTGCTCCAGGAACCCTGGGATGTGGAAGCACAGAACACCCACCAGCCAATGGTAAGGGTAGGGAGAGGGCTTGGAGCTTAGGATGTGGCCAGTAGTCAGGCTGGTGACCCCCCTCCCTGGGGAGAAGGCTGAACTGCTGGGAAAAGGGGCTCAGGTTGGGGGCTGGAAAGCCATGAAGTGGCAGCCTCCAGGTGTTAGGCCCTCCTCTCAGGGAAACCTGGCCTCTGAGTGGGGCCTGAGAATCTTGGGCAGTGGAGCCAACCTTGGCTGCCCCGGCTCAGGGCTCACCTACGAAACTGCTAAGGACTCCTTCCGCTGGACCACTGGGGAGTACCATTCCTTCACCAGTTTCGCCTTTGGACAACCTGATAATCAGGGGTGAGTCTGGGGTGCCTCCCTTCCTGGGGTCCACTTTCTTGCCTGGGCCTGCCTGGCTTAGCCTTCAGACTGCACTAAAGAATCGCCATCTAGCTTGCCACCTGGCTGAGCCCTAGAGGGTCTGGGCCTTACCTGGTACCTGGTTGCCCAAGGAAATCCAGGCACAGATGGGCACAGGCACAGTGCTGTGGGAGGGAGATGCAAATCAGAAAGCAGGGCCTTGGCCTCCGGGAGCTAACATAAGAGAGAGGGAACCCAAGAAGGCCCCATCTATTCATCTGTCTCCATTATCCCCTCAGCATCCACCCGCCCCTCCACCTACTGTCCACTCACCCCCCCACCTCCCCACTGGCTCCGCCTACATCAATACACTGATGCCAGCATTCTTCCAGCCCTCCACCACAGTGCCTGCACCCCTGCATCCGTTCATGACCCAGCCTGCCCACCAGCCATCTTGTACTGAGGGCCTTCTGCTTCTGAGGCCCTGCCCTCATTTCTAAGCCCAGACTGGGTATGGCACGGGTGGAGGTGGTCAGGCTGTGTGGTCACCGAGGGCTTCAAATATCTCCTCCAACCCTCCTTCACCCTCCTTCCCAGCATCCAGGACTGTGCCCGACCCATGGACTGGAGAAAGTGGGCCTGACTTGGGCTCCTGCTGGGAGGGAAGGCCCAAAGGACTTGGGCCTGTCTGTTCCTGGTGCTCCCCCACCACCCTTCTCTGCCCAGTGTGGCTGAGTGCTGGCAGTGGGGTAGGCAGAGTTGTTACTCCAGGGTAGGGGGTTTGCCAGAGACCTCCCTTGCGTCCCTGAGAAGAGCTGGAGAAGCCTGGGGAGCAGGGATGGGAGGTTTGGGGACAGGCAGGGTCCAGCTCCCAGCAGATGTAGGTGGCCTGCTGCGGTGGGGGATTTAAGCTGCTCCCACACTCATCATATATCACTTCTCCACCCTGAGCACCTTGGCATCTTGGCCCGGCAGGTTTGGCAACTGCGTGGAGCTGCAGGCGTTGGCTGCCTTCAACTGGAATAACCAACGCTGTAAAACCCGAAACCGTTACATCTGCCAGTTTGGTGAGGGCCTTCCCACCACTGCCTACCTCCAGCCCCTTCCCCTGCCAATGCTACGCTTGCTGGGGTACTCACTGGCCACTCCAGGCTGCTGATGTATTCAGGTCACAGGTCCAGAGCATGTTTGAGCACACCAGGCTGCTAAGGACATCCTGCTCAGAGGGGCATCCTGAGGCCCAGAGGGGAAAGATGGGCCCAGCATCACACAGCAAGTTCACACAGAGGCAGGATCAGAGAGTCTGGCCTGGGATTTCTCCAAGGTCCCTTTCCTCCTATCACTAAAGCTGCTGCTTGGGGACCTGTTTGGTCCCTTGGTGTTCTCTGATTGCCTAGAGCCCAGTGAACTGTGGTGAGGGCCCGAGGTGAAACCTGGCCCAGCACCAGCTTCCAGAAGCACCTGTTAGAATGGCCTGGAGCTTCCACATGGGCCATGGCCATGGCACTCCTCACTGAGTGCAGCACATGCCCATCCTGATTGCCTGGGCTGCCCCAACCCTTATTCTGTTCTGGTTCCTTTCCAGCTCAAGAGCACATTTCCCGGTGGGACCCTGGGCCCTGAGGCCCGGCACCTCCCCTGCCAGCCCCTGGGTGCACCAGCCTTGCTTACCTATCTGCCCACCTGCCTGGAACAAGGGTGAGGCTAGGACTACATGCCCAACAGCCAAGAAAGTCTCAGATCAGTGCAGGGAGTGGGGCAGGAGGTGCAATGAGGCCAATAAGGGGAGGGGCTGCCAGTGGAGCCTGGCATGGGGGACAGAGCCTGGGGCCCCTCAGCCTGCTTTTCATTGGGAAGATGGGGCTCAGTTGGGCCCCAATGCAGAAGGCAGGACCTGCTATCAGAAGACACCTCTGGACGGACCTTCCCAGGCAGCTGGGGCTTCTTCACCACTCAGAATACACCCCATAAAAGATCAAACTGAGTTATGAGCCGGCCAGGCTTGTGAGTGCTTGTTCTGAAGAGGACTTCTGAGAACCCAGGATGATTCTCGGAAGACCAAGGGGGTATCTGCCCCAGGACAGCCAACCGAGTCCCTTCCCTTCCCTGCTCACCCGTGTTACCCAGGCCACCCTCCGGAAGTGAGGCAGGAAGCCGCCCCTCTCTGCCTCAGTGAGGGGTCATTTTTCCAGCAGCTCCCAGGGCAAGCAGGGTAGAGACCAATTTGAACTCCTGGGCAACATCGTGTGTCCCTGGTGGAGTGCTTTACCACAGCCAAGGGTGAGGGTGCAATCAGAATCTGGAGAGTCCCACTCCTTGTCCAGCTCCTCAGACATCGTAGCTCACACCCTCATGTGTCAGGCACCGTAACAGCACATTAACTCAAACCTTCACACGTTCTCATTGAGGGAGTATTATCAGTGCTCCCATTTTACAGTTGAAGAAACGGAGGCATAGAGAGGTTGAGTAACTTGCCCAAGATCACGCAGCTGGAAATCAACGCAGTTAGTGTGGTTATAAATCTTTCCATTTTTGGGGGGCTGTTTCAGCCTTTTTAATGGGGGTGCGAGAAGTTCGTGTGGGACTCAGGGCGCGGCCTTACGCAGGGACGTTTACACAGCCGTTCCCAAAGACAGCCACCTCGCAAAGGGAGGGAGGCTCCAGACCACTGCTGAGATTTGCCCAAAATCTCCAGCAACGGCCGGACTCGGGCTTCCAGAGCCGGCTTATGGGTGGTGGAGGGCCGTGCTCTCCCGTCTTGTCCTGCCAGGTAGATTCTGCAATCCCGCCGCAAGTTTTTCTCTGGTACACATGAGAAGCCTCTCCGCAGGAGCTGCGTCCGGATGCTCCCGGCGCCCTAGCCTTACGCCGGAGGCGGTCCCTCCGCAGAAGGGCCGCATGCCGGTGTGCATGATGCTTGGGAGCCAGGCCAGCGCACGCGCACCTGCAGGGCCTAGGGCCGCGGCAGCCCCACCCGACGCCCCTCCCACAACCGGTGGAGCTCCGCCCCAAGAACATAGGCCCCGCCCCAAGTACCGCCCCTTACCGCGAGAAAGCCCCTTCCCCACCTTCCTGCCGCCGGGTCCGTGGCTCCCCGGGGACGCGACCCCTGTCCCCTTCCGCCGCTCCGCGCCGATGTCGCCGGGGCTGAAGCCCTTTCGCGGCCCTCTCTCCCTGGCGCCTCGTCGGTGTTCGGCAGCCCGAGCCTCGGCGCCTCATGGGCGCTCCCGCCGTGCCCCCTCGGGCCCGCCAGGGGGTGGCGCGTTCCGGGGTCACGGGGGCCTGGTTGGCCCGGGCCCGTGTTGGCCCCCTGTAGGCCCCCAGCAAGCGACCGTGACGCTGCTTGGCTACCCGGAGGCGTGTCGGAGACGTGAGTGCGCCCCGCACGCCCGCTCGGTTGGGGGAGGTGGGGCCGCTGGCGGCAGGACTAGGGGAGAGGGCAGAGTCACCTCACCCCACCCCGCGCCCGTGGGCAGCTGGACGCACGGGAGTGTGTGGTGAGGAGGTGTGCGTAGGCAGGTGTTGTTGGGCCGGCTCACTTCCCCGACTTGTCAAATGCGCTGAAGACCGACTTACGGGCCGTTTCCTTCGACACCTTCTCTAAGGCTCTCTGAGGCTGTCCCCAAAACGCCCAGGAAAATTGAGGGGGTTCCCTGTCCTGTCACCTCTGTGGTCCGCGTAGCTCCCGAGCCTTGGCTGCCTGAGGGAAGAAAGAACCTGCAGGCAGAGGGGCGGGCTGAGTGTTGGACAGGTGAGGGAGGGAACCGTTGGGCTCGCCCTCCCAGAGCTCCTGGACTGGGCTTGGAACCAGTTCTTTTCCTCTCCAAAACCGTGCTGAGGATTTGCATATGTAACAAGTTCCCAGGCGATGCTAATACTGCTGGTTAGGGACCAATTCTGAGAACCACTGGCAGAGCAGTGGCTCTGGAAATTTATTGTATGCAAGAATCACCTGGGGATCTTGATAAAATATAGATTCTGATTCAGTATATCTGAGGTGGAAATGCAGATTCTCAGCAAGGGTTCGAACGTGAGTGAACCAGTTAGAAGCCCTGCTCAGAGGACTTCCCTCTTTTTCACAGCTTCTGACCAGGCTGTGCCATCCTGAGGTAGTGGGGTCCTGGCAGCCCTAAGCCCACCGCTTCTTCATCCCTTTAGCTTTTCATTCATCTGTCAGGCACTCCTGGCCCTAATATCTCAGTATGCCCAAAATCCGCTAAGAAAATCTAGTCTCTGAAATCAAATGCATTGGCAAAGGAATCAGGTAGCGATCATTTGTGATACAGAAAGATTCTTCACCTCCTGGTAGGCCTCTGTAGTGAGTTCTTCTAGAAAACCTGATTTACAATATTTTTGTCTCTCTATAGTTTTATCTGGGGAACTTATTTTTCCTTGATGAAAAATTTTCTAAGCCATGTGTATATTTTCCCCAAAGTCTACAAAAGCCAATGGTGCTTCCTACATGTATTGGGAGAAGTGATGAGGGGCACAGGGCTTTAGATCTGGTTCTTGGAACTCCCCTTCCACCAGTTTGTGTGGCTTTCCCAGGGCAAAGAGAAGCAGGGCCAGTGTGGTCCAGACTCAGAGTGGGAACCAGACCATGCGCAGGGTGAGAGAGAGAAGAATGCAGAACAAGTGGTCTGGGCTTCCAAGGACAAAGGAAGCCTTCTCCAGATGTTTCCCCAGAACTGGGCAGATGACCCCTTCGAATATTTTTTGGCTTAAGATGGTGTTCTAAAATGTGATTATAGAAGGCAGAGTTTTCTCTTGGTCACAAATGTGGTGGCGTGTAGGTTCTCCAGTGTTGGTTGCAAACCTCTGTTCGTAAAAACTTGAGCATGAGCCTCTAACATGTTTATATGTAGTTATTTATGACCTGAAGTCCCTGGATGGCACAAGTGGTTAACATGCTTGGCTGCTAACCAAAAGACTGGTGGTTTTAGTCCACTCAGAAGCACCTTGGAAGACAGGCCTGGCAATCTTCTGAAAATCAGTCATTGAAAACCCTCTGGAGAACACTTCTACTGTGACACACATGAGGTCACCATGAGTTGGAATCAACTCAATGGTAACTGGTTTTAATTATGAACTATATACATGAACCACAATACTAAAATATTACATACAGTACATTATGAAAGAGATGCAAATAAAAACTTTAAAAGGTAAAAATAAAGATGACTGTAAAAGCCCTAATATTTTCATTGTGCCTCCTACTGGAATGCCTTGTGGTACACTTAGGGTGTGGCCGCCCTTCTCTGGAGACCACCACTGTAGAGAATCCAAGCTGTCTGCCTGAAGTACAAGGTATCCATTGGAGATTGCCATCCTTTGGTCTTGGCCAAGAATTAAGAGCTGCACCTGGATACACTTCAGGGTTATATTTTCTTGGTGTGAACCAGACCTACATGGAGACATTTGTCCAGGAGAGGAGGGGCATTGTACCCACCAGCATCATGGTCACCATTTCTGGCTTCTGGCTTATCCTGCCAGTAGGCATGGTTCTCATGGACATCTGCAAAGAGCAGTTCTCACCTGCGCACACTGAAATTTCAGAATCTCTTTGATGGTTCTTTTAGTCCCTGAATAATCCGCATATATAGAGCCCTCATTGTTGTTGTTCTTAGGTGCCATCAAGTCACTTCCGACTCATAGCGATGCTGTGTACAACAGAACAAAACACTGTCCGGTCCTATGCCATCATCACAATCATTGCTGTGCATGAGCCCATCATTGTAGCCACTGTGTCAGTCCATCTTGTTGATGATCTTCCTGTTTTTCACTGACCCTCTACCTAGCATGATGTCTGTCTTAGGCTGGGTTCTCTAGGGAAACAAAACCAGTAAAGCATATAAATATATGTATAGAGAGATTTATATTAAGGAAATGGCTCACGTGGTTGTAGAGGCTGGAACGTCCCAAGTCTGTGGGTCAGGATAGAGGCTTCTCCTGATTCACATAGCCACAGGGGATGGTGAACCCAAGATTGGCAGGTCAAAGAGCAAGGCTCTTGCTCGCAGACTACGAATATTGACGAATCTCAAGATCAGCAGGTAAGACCGTAGGTAAGCTGCTAGCTCAAGTCTCAAGACACGGAGGTCAGATGAACAGGAGCCAGCTGCAGGATCCAGAGCAAGCAAAAGCCTACAAGCCTTGCCAGAATGTCCACTTATATTCGGTGCCGGCCACACACCCAAGGATACTCACTTTCAACTGATTGGCTACTCACAGCAGATTGCATCACGGAAGTGATCACATTATATCAAATCTCATCATAGAAGTGATCACAACATCATATGACTGCCAAACTACATCATAACTGCCACACCACTGAGAATTATGGCCCAGCCAAGTTGACACACAACCTTCACCATCACAAACTCTGACACACACCTTTCCTAATTTTAAACCATGCAGTATCCCCTTGTTCTGTTTGAATGACTGCCTCTTGGTCTATGTACAGGTTCCTCATGAGCACAATTAAGTGTTTTGGAATTCCCATTCTTTGCAGTGTTATCCATAATTTGTTAATGACCCATGCAGTCCAATGCCTTTGTGTAGTCAATAAAACACAGGTAAATATCTTTCTGGTATTCTCTGCTTTCAGCCAAGACCCATCTGAC